GCACATTTTTACTTGAAAAATAGTATTTAAACGGATCAAGCTTTGGCTTTACGATGACACTGTAGGTTACTATACATTACGGTGCTCTATTTAAAAGTAACAAGATAAAAGCACTTCAGCACATGAAATTAAGATTGTCACTTGCCAAATAGAGACTACACCCTCCTGTTTACCTATAAGCAACGCCTCAAAATATCTTTAAATTCTTTATTGATGATTTAATTGTAGACAACTAAAATGGCATTTTACTTGCCAAAAAGTGATTGAATCGCTCAGATTTTCACGGAGGCTAAAATTGACCAAATAAGGGTTTTATGTATTATCTGTTGATGTTATAGTACTCATACTGCCTACTACATCATCAAAAACACCCAAAAAAAGGAAAAAAAAAAAGATTATTTCCCTTGCCAAAAATTGATCACAGTGTCCTGGTCACGTGTAAAGGGTAAAATTTACCTAAATATTACTTTATTTATTGTCTCTTGATGTTATTAGTGCCATCACGGGATGCTGGGTCTCTTCCTCATTCATAAACACCTCAAAAATGGCAACAAATGATCATTTCCCTTGCCAAAAATTGATCACAGTGTCCTGGTCACCTTCTGAGCTTCTTTCAGACATTAGGAGAGCTGTTTTTGTGGTAGCAGTCTCTCCATGCTGGTCTGTTTGCTGCTGGGTGTTTTTGGTTTATTTAAACTTGGTAAGTTGAACTTAACGTTGGTAAAGCTACTGTTAGCATTTTCGCTAACAGCTTCTTGCGTTTGGATAAGCTGTTATGTTTTGGTTTAGAGTTCATCTTTTTTGTGGTGCAGATCTCCCTATTGTGCAATAGAAAAATAATCGCTAGATTAATCATCTAAATAGTCATTAGAATAGTCGACTATTCGATAAAATAATCGTCAGAATAATCATATTAAAAATAATCATTTACCCCCAGCCCTACTTTTTAGAATACCAGGATAGGAAGGATGGTGTAGGATTGATACTTAAATATTACCAATAAGAAAGTGTATGTTGGTGTGTGTCAGAAACAGCATAAGGCTTAATGTCTTTTTCAAAAAAAAAAAAAAAAAAAACAGGTGATGGGCTGGTCGCCAGTCAAAATGCCCGGGCTGAATTTTTGTCCCAGTCCAGCCCAGCTTGTTGCTATGAGTAATAAGACAGAAAAAGCCAAGCCAAAATAAGTTTAGGAAGCCCACTAAGAATCGTAATAAAAGCATTTAAAATAAACACCATACACAGTTGAGGAAACGTTGGTTTAAGTACCTGATATGAAGTGGTCGCTGCATAAGCGAAAACCTTTACTCTCGGGATCCCACAGTATCATTTTTGCCCGGTCACTAGCGCGTTTTATTACAATGATCCAACGTTTGCGGCGCTTCGGATCTTGGGGAATCCTGTAGATGGATCATTCCTTATGTCGTCCACGTCTGTTCTGCATCCTGGGGCACAACAGGAATCTACCATATTTCCTGTCTGATTGAGTTTTCTGACAATAGCAAATAGTCCAGCCGCCGGCTTCTGCATGCCAATATGGCGCCGTTTCGATTTGAACTGTTGCATGCCGGGAGAAGTGACGTCAACTCCCGGAGCTACATGAGTCTAGTCGCAGCCCTTAAGCCAATGGCCCCACTGGTTCTGTTAGGATCAAGAGCCTTCGGAGGCGAACAGTGGAGTCGCTCCACTTATATACCCACAGGGGTGCCCAGCATTGGTGGGCGTACATTTAAGCTCTTCATGATTGGCTGATGCTGAGATCATCCTTCCAATAGCTGCTAGCTTAAGGGCTGCGACTAGACTCATAGAATCTGGGGTTACAATACGTAACCAACGTTCTCTTGTTGGCTCTTCCTTCTTCCATCTCAGGAACGTTGCTAAGCTGAGTCCCATTCTGTCCCGCTCTGAACTTGAGACAGTTCTCCACACCTTCATCTCCTCACGCTTAGACTACTGTAACTCTCTTTTCACGTGTCTTAGCAGAACCTCCCTGAACCGTCTACAGGTGGTTCAGAACGCCTGTGCTCGACTTCTGACCAAGTCCTCCAAACACACCCACATCACCCCGCTTCTCCTCCAGCTTCACTGGCTGCCAGTCAACTTCAGGGTTCATTTCAAGATCCTGGTTCTGGTCTATAGGGCCTTACATGGACAAGCACCATCTTACATTGGTGATCTTCTCTGTCCCTACACCCCCTGAGGTCCAGTGACCAAAGCCTACTGGTTGTGCAGCACCAGCTAAAGACCAAAGGTGACAGATCATCTGCTACGCTGGTCCCCAGAGATCAGTGGACTCCTTTAAACTCACCTGTTCAGGCTTTGGTGGGACCTTCATCATCACCCTATCCTTGTTCTGCCTTTCCCAGGATCCACTGTAAGAACGTTTTGTTGGAGCAGGTGTGGGCAAAGCTCAATGCTCCAAGTTCACTGTAACGGAGCCAGCTGACACTGAAGGATACACTAAAAAACAGAGAAATTTCCTACGACCAGCAAAACGATCACAGCCAAGATGTATTACAATGGATAACTTTCTGTGGTTGCATAATGTTCAGTGTACTTTCTGAATGAGTGAGTTTTTGAAGGATAAATTAGAAGAACTAATCCAAAAAGAAGGAAATAGTTTAAAACACTTCACACTCTACACAATTCTTATTTTAATGCATTGCTGAAGGAGCTGGCGATCTCTTAATTTTGATCTCTTTGTAGTCCTCATAGGCATGAAATAATTCTTGCTCCATCTGGGAGATGAATGAGGTACTGACCTTATCTTTCATTCTCATTTATCTAGCATTGATTAGCAGGGTCTGCCTGTGAACACACTTGAGCCTCCCCAACCACTCCTTGCTCGACTCCTCTCAATATCAAGCAGGGATTTATTAGCAAAGCCTCGATGTTCTAAACTCATTTAGTGAAACAGCCCCCTTCGTTCCTAAACTAGACCTGGAGCAGCTCTTGGGCTGTGCTACCATGGTGATTAACTGGTCCCAGCAGACTACAACACTGATGGATCAGCCATAATGTTCTCACACAAATACAAGAAACAAGGCGGCGCTTCTAACATTTATTATGAAGAGGTGAGATAGAATCAGGAAGTGTGAGGATCACTGTGCTCTCCTGGATAGCAGCATCTCTCTGATGTTGTCCTCAGCATCTTTGACGCTGCGCTCCAGGTACACCTTCTTCTGCTGCAACACACACATATGGCTCTGTCAGGAGTTTTTACACAGATCCACCTCTTCTGATCTTCACTTATTAAAGCGAGACTTGCAACTTTTATTATACTCTTAAACTATTTGCTTGAGCTAGTATGTGCTAAAATGACCCTACAGGGTTAATGAAAGGCCACCCAGCAAATCGCCCCCTGTGGCCAGGATATTCCACCTGAGCTGCCATACGTGGCGCTGCAGTCTGCCGCCAGCAAGTTTTAGATCGTGAACACAGCTGATTTGTTTAATTTAGTGATGAATCACTCCTGTAGACACTAATGAAGACCGGGAGACATTTCAGCAGTTAGATTAGGGTGTTAAAAAGCCAATGGCACAGCGAGGAGATAGGTTTTGGTTTCTGTGCTACAAACAAACACTAGGGGAGCTAAAAACAAGCCTAAACTGTTTAGCTTCCCTTTACTATTCTACAGCTCTGGAGGACTCGTCCTGTTGAGGAGCAATAAATGAGGAAATAAAGACGCTTATTTCTAAAAATGATTCCTCCTGTACATGTTGATGAGGTGGGCGTGGCTACCACGGGCATAAACGTAAAACAGAATTTATCACGTTTCACCCAAGCTGCAGCTCAGATTCCGGTTCTATTGTTGACCGTGCACCTTCTCATCCCTCCAGAAGCCAGTTGTCACTAGCCTGGGGGTGAGACTTGACTGTTCTAAGACTGGACTCTCATGTACACTCAGTGGTTGGGTCTTGCTTTTTTCAGTTACGTCGCCTTACTGAACTCAAGCCTATTCTTTCCAGAACTCACTTGGAGCGTGTTCTCCATGCGTTTGTGATCTCTAGGCTTAACTATTGTAAATCCATCTCGGCTGGGTTGGGTCAGACTATTGTGCATCGCCTGCATGTAGTCCACAACAGTACAGCTAGGTTTTTGACTGGAACTAGGAAAAGGGCCCACATTTCTCCCGTGCTGACCTCCCTTCACTGGTTCCCACAGTTTAAAATTCTGCTTTTTGTGTTTAAGTCTTTCCAAGGCAGTGCCCCCACCTATTTGGCGGAGCTCTTAATAAAGCATGTTCCCTCAAGGTCATTACAGTCGGCTGACCAGAAATTGCTTATCGTCTCTCGCACCCGATTTAAGACTCGTGGTGATCAGGCTTTTCAAGTCCTGGCACCCTCGCTCTGGAACCAGCTCCCACCCACAAACAGTCCCCATCACTGGCAGTCTTTAAGAGCAGGTTGGACTCATTTTTATAGGACGGCTGTCTCCTAAAGCTTTTGGTTTCAGGTTTTTATTTTTGATTTCTTTTAACTACTTAATTTTAATTTTCTTTTATCTAAATTCAATCTCATTAGAGTTTTATTGTTCTCAGAAATGTCGATGTTATTATTTTTGATTTAGTGTTTTTATGACGTTTATCTTTTCCTTTTCAGCGCCTTGGGCCCCCCTTTGAGGGTCAATCAATCAGGTTTTATTTATAAAGCGCTTTCCAAGCAAAGTGCGACTCAAAGTACTTTACAGGATTAAAGTGACCCCAAATTCCCATAACAGTTTAAAAGCATTAACCGTCTCTCACACACACAGTCAGTTATCAGAATGTGTATCCACTCCTGGTTATTGATCCGTCCTCCCTCCACCTGCAGGTTTTATAGAATGCTGCTGCCGTCTCAGAGTTTCAGTGGTGAACACCTGCAGCTTCTCAATACCATTCTTAGGGTGGAATTTAGGAGAGTTTCTATGAATGTTTGATGAACAAGGCCCTGGACTTCACCTCCAGCTCTTTGATCTTGTCATCCACAGTTTTTTGTTTGTCCATCAGTAGGTTGTTGATTTCC